TATCGCTTTGATTATTTTTTCTGAGCAGCGAAAACAAAATTTTCAAATAAGAATGTTAACAGTCAAAAAAATATAATACAATGAAACCCCTTTTTGAAAAAATTAATAGGACGAATCAGAGACGAAGAGAGCATAATATAGTTTTTCACTAAACAAGAGCGCCTTCACTTCTTATATCTTATTTGTGCCAGTAGTCATGAACGTGACTGAGACGAGACTATGATTGCGTCGCAACTATTAAAAGGCTATTTTATACAGCGAAGTAGTGCGAAAGAGAAAAACTATTTTGTCTTTTTCTTTGAAATTCAGATAGACTAATGTTTAAGCTCTTCGAGCGCGACTGGAAATTCAAATAGTTTGAAAAGGTGCCTGGGGACGGAACTTGGAGTCAGACGGTACGTGAGTGTTATATCCCTCCTATGTAGCTACCAGTGTCTCACAGGACAGTAGTATTTTGAAATTCAAACGTACACGATATGAGTATTAACTTTATCTTAATTTTAAAAAACTGTCTCAGACAACAAGCTGGACTAAGAAAGTTTTCGAGTACATACATATTATGTATTTTTTTCGCTAATTGATGTGAGTTAATATTATAGAAAGCAAATCGAAACATAAGAAGGTACTTCCTACCTTAATAATTGGAGCTAAACTTTCCAATATTTAAGAAAACATTGTTCAGCTCACAAATAGCTTGTACTATGGAAATTTGAAAATACGGGAATTAAATCAGGAACAGGGAGGCAACACCTTAAGTCCCACTAGTTAAACTACTTGACTACGGAGGTTATCGAAATATAAAAATTGCATTTTCGCTTACACCAATTTAAATATTTTTCGTGCTAAGTAATAATAACACGCATTGACAGAATAGTATTGTTATCTCAAATTCAACACCAGCACTTAACACACCAACATCAGCATAGTACCTACTATGATGCCAGCATTGGTGCTACTGAGACAGGGTCCTCATTGGCTTTCACACAATAAACGTATTTATTACTAAAAGTTTAAGATGATAATTTTCTTTGATAATGCATTATCCTGAATGCCCACGAAACATAATTTAGGTTAGTACACACTAAATATTGTTACATTTTATTTATTGCAGCACAAAGGCAGCGTCGCATTAGAGGAGAGACCAAGTTTAGCTTGCCATAATAGTCACTATCCGTCTCTTTAAGTGGCGCATTTAAGTCTAGCTCAAGTCTTACCTCTTTCCTAGTTCTAATGTTCATTTCCAAAGTCAACAGTATTTTATTTCTATTTTAACTCATAGAAATAAAAATATTAGAAAACAGCATATATATTGCTGAGATTCCAAGGTAGTATTTATTTTTATTATCATCGGAACACTTATCCCTCCCCCTCCCTAACCTCAATGTATTTTCATTAATTCACACCAAATCTTCTAAATTTAAATTCGAAACATCTGTAAGTTCAAAAGGCAACCTATCTTTGTGATTTATATAGATTTAGTTCATTTATTTTGATAACTGTGTGTTAATATCTTTTATGACGTGACGGAGAATCGTTTAATTATTCCATACTAATATTATACATGCGAAAGTTTTGACGCTAGAATATCCATTACGCATACTCGCTTCACCTTGTGCGAGATCCACGAGTCACTAATCTGGAGAGACCCACATAGGGTCTCTCTAGATTAGAGGCTAATCAAAAAGCAGGGTTTTAATCATTAAAACCTAGCGAAGTCCCTCGAGGACGACGCACTATGACGGTCCCTATTGGGACCACTTCCCGCGAGGCTCGCTCCCGTTTCGGTTTTTTCACGGATTAGGGGCAGAGAGGGCTCAGGAACATTCACGTCTCCCAGGCAGGGGAGTGCAATATTCAGTGAACAAATTAACCCGCTAGACTCCTGTCAAGGACAAGACATGCGTAACTGAGCATCTCCCGCCCTAACCCGTCTCATGTCATGTCGTCGGACTCATCAGCCGGCTAGAAATGACGCAACGTTCCACAATACGGCTGAACGAAAGTCCGTGAACTCATTAACTGACAATTCATCGGGAATACCAAAATTTATTTGTAGAATTAGAATGAAAATAAATAGTGCAGAGTGGGTGATTTTAAATAAAACTCAAATACAAGAAGTTTTGAGCTACGAGTTACGATCTGAAATAGATACAGATACGATAAATAAGATAATAAATAAACTGTTTAGTCGCAACTGGATGTTAACTAGTATTGCCAGGTATCCAAATTCTAAGGACTCGTCCCGATTGGCACCTGATCGGGATGCTAAATGTCCCGAAAAATCGATGACTTTACTAAATGTACTGAAACTTGTAAAAAAAAAATTAATGCCATAGTCAGTCATTCCACGTTCGTTCGTCCATACCACAGATATATTTTTGTCTTTTCATTTTTTCTTTCTTATGACTTCAATTGTGTACCTGCTATTTGATATTGTTATAACTGTATTATAGCTTTAAACTAACGTTGACAAATTAAAAACGGAATGTTTCATAATATTATTATGAAAAATGCTTAAAAATCCACTAGCCCCAGATACTCCGAAGGGACACAGCATTGTGAAAAGATATTAATTTCATAACATTTTATGTAGCCTTTGTTTTTTAAACAAGTAGGTAAAATTTGATCGTGAACTTAGTGTTTCTCGTCTGAGAAATGTTTTAAAAATTGACTATGTCGGTGTATTATTTAAATTATATTTTTGGTAGAGGCAACTCTTTTTCAAAACTGAGATAAATAAGTGAAGGTAATGATAAAAAAAACGTAAATTAATTAATTTGTGCAAGCAACATTGCATAGTGTGAAGTGTTTGAGAATCACGTTACACGTTACAACGTGATAAATATGGTATAAATACGGGTCTAAATAACCTTACTTTATGAAGTGGGCTAAAGATCTTGTTTTTGTTTGTCCCGATTTACAATCCTAAATACCGATGTTTCATCTTATGTCCCAAATTAAAACAAATTGGAACTGGTAACACTAGTGTTAACGGTACGTATGATCCAATATAAGATGCTAACTTACACACCAATAATACAAGTTAGTTAAGCTTAAACTTTCCTTTTTTTCGGCTCTAAACCTTAGGAGGGGAAGGATGCGGTGAATCTTTCGTTAGACACCACACAGCCGACTACGAGGTAATGACTTAACACCGTCTTGTGCAGTTGGTTGCGTGCCCTGAAGGGGCAACGAACCTTCGAACGGAGCGACTGCCCTTCCGCCTACGTGGAATCTGACATCGAGATGTTAGCCGTTAACCCTGAAGGGACTCTACTTATTGAGTTACAATAGGGACGACTCCTTTAAGGGCAACGATAAGCCAGATCTGATGGGGATTTGACTTAAAGGGTCGGGATACAAAGAAATTTTCATGAAAAATTCTTAATACCAATACAATTATACAGACAATTCAAACGCCCACAGCGCCATCTATCGAAAATCAGAGTAAGCAAATGTATTTGTCTACATTGAGGAAGTATTAAAAAAAAACATTAGTTCCCAAAATCAAACTAGATGTCGCTACGGTACGTTCTTGATTTCTCCATGACAACCTTTCCGGTTTTCTTTCATGTTTAAAAGTAAATTAGTTTTCAAAACTCAATAAACAACTCATTTTCTATTTGTACTTGTATAGATATCTAAATTTCGAATTTTTCAAATTTCAGTTTTTTAATATGTTAGTTAAAAGGAACGGAAATTACTGTCTTTGGTCCATTCGTTTCCTGCAAAAATCAACTTTTGCTAGAGTCGCCAGTCTAGTGGAGGTACTTTTTTAGTGCTTTCGTTTTGTTTAATACTTCCTCATTATTGTAGTATGTTTATTACAATTTCGATATTTAATAACATCAAAAAATTATAAATTATAAATCACGTGACGTCCTGTAGGCCATGTGATAGGTTAGACATTTAAATTGCTGCACTACGCTTCGAGATCATCTTAAATTCCATATTTATTTATTTTTACAGATAACAAAACTAAATGAACGTTTTCGCGGCGTTTAAATTAGCCGTCTTGTTGAACGGTCCAAATGTCATGATGATTTAACTAGAACACTAGGCGTGCAATTGAATTAAATGGCTAGCCGTCCAATTAAACTACTGATCTGACCAGTTGGTTGCGACATAAATATGACTAGGCGTTACTAACGAATAGTACACCGAGAACAAGGAGAAACCTTTTCTAAGAGTGTGCTTGCCTGCGCAATCTGCTTGAAGCTTGGCGCTCTAGGTAACACACTGGAACGATGTCCTTAAAAAATCGCAACAAAATAAGTACTTATGTACTTAAATTCACCGATCAAAAAGTGTAATTTTAAACACATTAGAAAAAAAAACTCCTCAGGTAGAGGTTAGGCAGCAGGCCGCTACTAGCACCCGAATTCGAATTCACACATGTGTCCAAATTCTCGTCATTTAATATAGAAATTCTGTTGATTCCATTTTTTGTATAAAAATACAAAATAGAATTAATTGATTATACGTGTCTCAGATACTCTATTTCTATGTCATTTCGAAACTCACTTCACTCGAGCGGATGCTATTTTTTGAAATGAATACGAATACCTGAGTGAATTCAATTTCGGTTTTGGATTTTTACTTTTGAATGGAACATGGACGTGTATGTGTTCAAAGAATAAAAGTATTTTTTAAGGTACTGCTTTTATAGGATGCTATTGGATAGGAGTTTGCCATGCCATGCCGCCCCCGCAAAATCATATGTGACTGACGAAAATTCATATGTGAATGACGAACTAAATAGAATTTAGTTTTTTTACCCAGTCACATCCCTATAGTTTTGTATTCGTTGGACATGATAAAATACGTTCAAATGTCCAAAGAAGTTTAACATATACAAATGAAAAATAATAATTTAACTTTTATTTAATTAAGAAATCTCAACAACAATGTTATCCAATTTCATTTCTAAGCACTGTTTCTGTAGCTGAACGAAAATGTCAATGTCAAACGTCACTACTGTCATTTGATTAATGTCAGTCAAATTTATCACAACAAAACGCATGTTGTGCGAGTTATTTCACAATTTTGTTTATCTTTATATTCTTAATTGAACTTTTAAAAAACTTTATCACTACATTTGAAGAAATAAACGTATTTTATTAATTAAAAACAGACTTCTAATCATGCGTCTTGTAGATTCGTCAAAACTTTTGGAACTTCAAAACAAACCTGGAAACATTCGAAATATATGTATTGTGGCACACGTGGATCATGGGAAAACAACCCTGGCGGACTCATTGATATCCAGCAATGGTATCATATCCCAGAGAATGTGTGGTAAACTCCGTTACATGGATAGCAGACCAGACGAACAGGAACGAGGTATCACTATGAAAAGTAGCAGTATCGCACTTTACCATGCTGTAAATAACAATGAATTTTTAGTGAATCTCATAGATTCACCTGGTCACATAGATTTCTCTAGTGAAGTGTCAACTGCTGTTAGATTGTGTGATGGAGCGATTGTAGTTGTGAGTACCTTACTATTTATTTGTTGATGACTTGCTACACAAACATTTTTGGTAAATTTACATTCAAAATTCTCAGGTTATAAGTAAATATCATTCATAATTTTATAATATGAAACAATTGTAAAAAAAAATTAGTAAGAATCAAAATATATGGCTGCTAAATATAGTGTTATGTGTAGTTTCCTTAATAAAATACCTGCTAGCCTTCAACCTTCATTACTAATTCTTTGCTTGTTATTTCATATGTTTATAAAATAAATTTCTAACTTCTTAAGAGTAATCTCTAGAATAGATATTATATAATATAGATGTAATAACATTGTTTCAAAACTATATAGATTAAAAAATATTGTGCAATATGTGTGAATTGTGTAGTAAAACATATTGTGAATATCTATTATATTGTTGGATTTAATGGATTAGTTGAATACAATAATGTGAGGAAGTGATTTCTTATTTTTCAGGTGGATGTTGTTGAAGGTGTCTGTCCTCAAACTAGATTAGCTCTCAAGCAAGCTTATGCTGAAAACATCCGAGCAGTATTAGTTCTAAATAAAATTGACCGACTAATTTTAGAAATGCAATATACACCTTTGGATGCCTATGTTCACTTGACACAAGTAATGGAACAAGTCAATGCGGTAATGGCAGAATTGTTCACTACTGAAGTGTTTGAAAATGAAGAGACGAATATAGAAAAAGAGGTATGCAGATTTGTAAATATCAAGTTTTAAATTAAATTTAATTACCAAAAATGAAATAATGTTGAAAATTTCAAAAATAAATGCTTACTTAGGTACACAGCTGCATGTCAGACTATAAATTGTGGACTTTGTATTGACTGCTCTTCGTATAGAACTTCCCTAATAACAACTGTTTTATTATGGTGGTGGTGTGTAGTGAGCTACATATACACTACTACTGTTTGACATGTTTTTGTTAATATACAATTTTATTACAATGACAGTCAAGCACAGCTGTGACTCAGTTGAGATGTTTCTGTGGGAATTTTATAATGCAATGATGAGTATATAAAGAAACTGATGTCCTACAAAAAACTAGGATTCACATGAATTGCTCAATAATCAATTTTAAACTATTGCACGACATTATTAAATACTTATAATACTAATCTGCGCCGACGTTTCGGCCGGGTTGCACCGGCCGTGGTCTCGACGAGACTGGAGCAGCGAGTCTACACCTGTGCATCGGAGGATGAATCTTCTTCCACCCTCAGATTTTTCATCCAAATACGATCACAAACAAGACTAATGGTGTTGTATAGGGACACCGTTGCATGTCAGACTACATAACACTAATGGTGTCCTATAGGGACACCGTTACGTTGTTCGGTTGTTCGGCCGGCCGATATGTCGGCGCAGGTCAGTGTAAAATCACGTCTAATACCCGGTATTATAAGTATTTAATTGCTTAGTAAATAAAAAAAAATGCTTGAAAAAAAAAAACTGATGCAGGTTTACTATCTAGACTATCTGAGGGCTACAACAAATAAGTAATAAATGTATTTATTTAACATTATCTATGTTCTATCAAATTAAAATAAACCTATACTTACCAGATACCTTCTCTTCTAGATCTAGTTTTTTTTATTCATATAAGAGAATTTGTTCAATCTCATTTAATTTCTAACAATCACAAGATTTACCACTATACAATAATGATAAAAGTCTATTAAGAATGTTACAATGTTCATTTTTTTATTATCCACATCTGTTATTATTTTTTTCATGTTTATATATTATTGTACACTATTTATTAGCATTACACAAATTTGTTAGAAATACAGTTCAATGTTCTATTTTAGCAACAAAAGCCACCAAAACCAAAAGAGGACAACAACTTCTATGATTGGACCTCAGCTCTTGAAGAAGCTGATGACTCTCAACTATATTTTTCTCCAGAACAGGGGAATGTTGTATTTGCTAGTGCTATAGATGGTTGGGGGTTTACTATTCATACTTTTGCTAAATTATTTGCGGAGAAACTTGGTGAGTTATATATCATTTACTTGAAACCCACATACTACAGTAAAATATTTCATCATTATATCAAATGTTTCTTTCAGGAGTCAAAGAAGAAATTCTGAGGAAAGTACTGTGGGGTGATTTTTACTTAAATCAAAAAACTAAACGTTTTATGAAAGGTGCACAAGAAAAAGCTAAAAAACCATTATTTGTCCAAGTTATTCTTGACAACTTATGGAATATTTATGAGACAATAGTATTAAGATATGAAAAAGAAAAGGTGCCAATTATCTGTGATAAGCTTGGTATCAAATTGACTACTCGCGATTTAAGGCACACTGATACCAGAATTCAACTCCAGTCACTTATGATGCAATGGCTTCCATTATCCCAGACTGTACTTAATATGGTCTGCTCACAACTTTCGTCGCCTAAAGAAATTCTCCCAGATAAAGTTGAAAAACTCATGTGCTCTAGAATCAGAGATTTTGATTCTCTCCATCCCGAAACACAAAAACTTAAAGATGACTTTTTAGCCTGTGATAGTAGTGATAATAAGCCTCTTATTATTTTTATATCAAAAATGTTTAGTATAGACAAGAGCATGCTGCCCGAGAACAAGCCTAAGATGTTGACACCGGAGGAAATGGCGCGTAGAAGAGAAATAGCTAGAAAAATACGTGAAGAGGGTAAAGATAACAAAGTTGAACCTGTTAAATCAGACTGTGATAAAACTACTGTCAACGATGTTGATGAAAACAAAGAGGATGAAGATAGAGATCAACTAGCATTTATTGCATTTGCTAGAGTATTCAGTGGTAAAGTTAAAAAAGGTGATAAAGTATATGTTTTAGGTCCTAAACATGACCCGTCCAAAATTCTTAATATAAAAGATTTTAAAATAGATCCCAATAAGAAATTAAAGGATTTACATAGTGATGAGCATGTTACATACACAGAGTAAGTCGCGCATTTATAAATAGTGTAATATAAAGATAATTTAGGAATATTTTAACATGGTTTTTTATTTCAGAATCAAATCACTGTATATTTTAATGGGTAGAGAATTAGAAGAAATTAATGAAGCAGTTGCAGGAAATATTATAGGTAAGTACCTGTTTTATAATATTTTAAATTATCACATTTTGTCTGTGTATATATTATCTCAACATTTTCTAATAGACTTTCAATTCTAATTTTGAAGTAAATGGACAGTTTAATATTTTAGAAGTAAAGCAGTTGAAATTAAATGAAATTAAAAAAAAAGCTAAAATAATTATGGTGTGTCTTAATCACTTTTTATATTCTCTTTTCCGTTTTAGGTATCGGTGGCTTAGAAGAACATGTTCTAAAAACAGCCACCCTTAGCAGCACATTAGCTTGCCCTGCGTTCAGTGAAATCCAATATGCAGCTGTGCCAATTCTGAGAGTAGCTATTGAACCTCAAAATCCATCTCAACTGCCACAGTTAGTTAAAGGTAATTAAAGTTATTCAAATATTTAAATTTTAGACTATTATAATTTTTATCTGTGAAATAAATCATAGGTTTAATTATAGAACTAAATTCATTATGAGTTAAATTTAAGGTCTCAAGCTTTTAAACCAATCAGATTCATGTGTTCAAGTTCTCCTACAAGAAACAGGTGAACACGTTTTGGTTACTGCAGGAGAAGTGCATTTGGAAAGATGTCTTGAAGACTTAAAGTAAGTGGTTATAGTTTGCTTATATTTAAAATGATTGACTGTTTCTGTGAATTCTTTCCACTGTCTAGGTTTTTTTTTTATTTCACTAACTCAAATAAAAATACGATTAATGTTATATGTACTGGTAATTGTATTGATGAAAGTAATTCCTTTAACATTTTAATTCTGCGTTCGTTAGTTTAGTTACCCGAATGTATCAATAAAACTAACTTTTGTTCCAGAAACAATTACGCCAAGATACCTATTACTGTATCAGAACCTATTGTTCCGTTTAGAGAAACTATAGTTGAACCACCAAAAATAGATATGGCAAATGAAGAAATAGATGTTCAAAATGTAGACAAAAAGAATATGATACAAGAAGATCCCGTCATCACAGTATATACTAACAATAGGCAGAGCAAAATAAAGATAAGAGCTAGAACTGTGCCTACCGAAATAACGAATCTACTTGATAAATCTCAAGATTTATTAAAAGCTATATCGCAACATATAAAAACTCTTCAAGGTTTATCTAGAAATGATAATTTAGAAAACAAATCAGGAGAATTCCTCAACGGTACTAAGCATAAACTCTCCGATAGAATGCTAAAGTTAATACAGAACTTCATAGAGGAACTGCAAGGAATATGTTCGAAATTAGGTCCGGAATGGAAGGATGTCGTCAATCAAATTTGGTCTGTTGGTCCCAAGAATTGTGGCCCCAATTTACTTTTGAATCATACGTCCAATTATAATACTAAATATTTGTACCATGATAAAGATATCAAGGAAGATCCGAGATTTGAATATGAAAGTAGTTTTGTGAATGGGTTCCAATTGGCTACTCTGGCTGGACCATTGTGTGAGGAACCCATGATGGGAGTTGCGTTTTGTGTTGAAGAGTGGACTTTAGATAAGAGTGAAGAAGACGAAACACATACTTTTGGACCACTTTCAGGTTAGTTTAGTTAGTTGGCAGTTGAACAAACTAAATACTGAAAAATCAAGCTGATGTTTGATTGGAAACTACCGAATCTTTTAAATATATTAATGTATTTTCCATTAATATCTCATACTCGAGTCAAAACTATTTTTCCATCTAAATATATATAACTCAAAGGTCTGACTGACATAGTGATCTATCAACGCACAGCTCAAACCACTGGACGGATCGGTATAAAATTTGGCATACAAGTAGATGTTATGACGTAGGCATCCACTGAGAAAGGATTTTGATCAATTCTACCCCCAAGGGAATAAAATAGGGGATGAAAGTTCATATGAAACTTTGTCAATTTTAATCCGCTCGGGCTGAGACTTTGCATGCATAAAGCTACTATGATGTAGGCATCCCCTAAGAAAGGATTTTGATAAATTCCATCCCTAAGGGGATAAAATAGGGTATGAAGCTTTATTTCAGGTTTTTTACACGATATATTGAATAAATATTCGTTAGAAATGCTGCTCAGAGTAACTTTACCACGCGAACGAAGTCGCGGGCATAAGCTAGTTCTCTAATAAAATCACATAACCACTAAATTATTCTCCCAAAATTTTGTCAATTCAACGATAATACATAAGCACAGGCGCTTAAATTGATCTTAATATTGAAACCGTAATTACATAAACTCCGCTACTAAAGCAGAAGTATTGTGTAATATTACACCTTGAACCCAGACATTACAGTTCTTTTTCTAAATATAGTTTATTTATTTTTTTTCGTTTAAATATGGCAGTAGAGATATTTGTTCATTTTTCAAATCAATATAAATAAAATTTCGTGCATTAGTCAGCGTGTTGAAATAAGACAAAGGATAACAAGTTTCATCCCTCTGACTAACAGGTTCCCAAGATTATATAACTACAGGTCATGCATACCAAGTTGCAAGCAATTAATGTCCCTTATAAATAGATGTTATGTTGCTCTATCAATTATGATAGTGCGTCATGCTATACCGTTTGACAAGCACTATGTCAATTTTCTTTTTCATTTTCTCAGGTCAAATAGTATCTGCTGTCAAAGACGGTTGCAGAAAAGCTTTCCAAGTTCAACCACAGAGACTGATGGCAGCCATGTACTCGTGTGACATTGTCGTAGACCAGAAAGTATTAGGTAAGTTACTAATTATAATACCACGAGGATATTACAGGTAACACAAATCTATGATTCAAAACCTTGCTGCATTGAGGGTAGTGTTGAAAATCAATTGTGCTAATTTAGCGTGCTGCTTGTACTCAACGAGATGTTTGAATATTTCCTTAATGGTACAAAATATTTATATTCATATTAAAAGAAAATAATAAATTTTTTTTAAAAATATTAATGCTACATGAAATTTGTTTTTACCCGACTGCGCGACGCAAAGGAGGGTAAAGTGTTTATCAGTCTATGTATGTATGTATGTTTGTTTCTATGTGGCGTTCTAGAGACCAAATGCGTAGGCCGATTTTGATGATTCTTATGTCAATCGATTCGTCTTAACCTTGCGAGTGTCACTAAAGACATGACAGTAATCAAAATTTACCACAGCGACAACCAGACGCCATATTGTCAAAATGAAAAAAATAAAAATAGATGAACTATGTCAAGTGGGGTGTCGTTGAATAGATATTTTAAAATTATCTTTTGGTTTATTTATTTTTATTTCTAGGTTTTTATCATTCTCAAATTTTTAAATTTTACCAATCAAATCTTCCCAAGGGGCCCCGACTGCGAGTCGTTCTGTTCTGTATTACTTAACAGAATTCTTAACTACTGGGCTTGTTTCTTTCTTTTAAGTTTTTAAGTAAATTTCTTCATGTATTTTTTAAAATTCGTTTTTACGCAGTCGGGTTTTTTGTTTTTCTTTTTTAAACCCGTACGGTCATAAATTTGCCTTAAAGTTTATTTATGTAAGGTCATAAACAAACTTTAAGGCAAATCATAAATTATGTCAATGTGATCAGAAAAATCTATTATAATTCATAATAGATGTTTCAGATCACATTGACTACAGTTCCAGTTGGGCTGCATTGGCCCTTTGAGTTTAAAAATTGATAATAAGTAGCTGACCCCGCCATGCATTGCTGTGGCTCGTAATTATGATAGATTCAAATATGTTTTTCTTATCTTTTTTTTTTATTTTGAGATTATAAGTAACTATCCTGTTTTTATCTTAGGCCAAATTATATTGAACGCATATGAAATTTTATTAAAATCGATCTCATATAGTTATACAAGATTCTATTATTATTATTATATGTTTTATATTAGATTTTTGTTCATATAGATATAAATACTTAAGTAATATATATTTATGCTCACAACTTACAAACGAACTCATAAAGTCACGTAGTTATCGTCCGCGAATCGCATTCTTTGATGAAACTCCTAGATAAGTCGGACGTCTGAAAAGCATGCGCAGTGTTAAACTCAAAGACCAAAACAAAACTCGTACGCTTTCTTTGCAGGAATTTAACTTGTAGAAACAGAGTCTAGATTCTAAAACGGTAAATGTAGTCCATAGATTATTTAAAACACTATGCAAAAATTAGTTAGATATATTATTATTATCAACTTTCAACATATGATCAAATCATAGGATAACTTATTATTACAATTTGATTTTTAAAATTACAAATCTAGTGATTTGATTGATCAAAGTAAATTAGATTTGATTAAATCACTAGATTTGTCAAAAATTGAAATGAAAAATGAAATGAAATAGGATCAATTGACATTTTTTTGTATTTCGCTCTTTTTTGCTTACTGTACTTACCTCAAAATATCTTAAAAAGTTATAGAGAGTTTTCTAGAAATGAGAATGTCGTGTATGTAACCGTAGTATTTAAGGTACCTTAGGTAACAGCTAAGGCCTCTTACCACACGCTTCGCCACCATTTCGGCCCACCCCTTGCAAGGTACGACTCGGAGAGAGTATTTAAAGTACCTGTTCTTACTGTACCGTCTCAATATCAACCGTGTGGTTTACTGGCCATGTGTAAAATATTTACTAGTAATAAATAACCAAAATCTATTTAGATTTTACGTTATTATCTTATATAAATAAAAAAAAGCGTTTCAAAATATTCGTTAGCTTTAATTTTCGTAATTACAAATATTGTAATTAACACTACTATTTACATCGTTACAATCTAAGTATAAATATGGATTACTTAAATAAATACCGTTTACACTAAATTATTACTTAATAAACTATAAATGCATCGAAAAATTACAAATTTTCACTGAGTCATATAATCACTTATCACATTTTCTCGTGTACATAAAATAAAACAGTTCGTAATTCACGATATCATCATTTTGAAAGTAATGCCTTATGGTGGGGACATATAGGTTTTCCTTTTAAATCGGTCTTATAGCTACAATCATGGTTACATATCTGGCAATAATATTACTAAGATACAGTGTTTCATGCGATATTTTTCCTTTCATTTGCAAGCGACAATTTTTTTTAAATCAATCTATATTCAGACTATAAATGTCGCTATAACTTGCAACCGACAACACTTATTATAAATACATACGTAATACTGACACCATCTCAAAGAATCTACCGATATGGGCACGTTTAATAACAAGCTTTTTATTTTAAATATTGCATTTTCATTCATCTTGGCGATCAATAGGTGGCGTTTACGTTTGGTTTATACCAGTTTTCTAGTACTTTCACTTGTCTAAATAAAAAGACGGCCAAGAGCGAGTAAAAAACGCGTACAGAGTTCGCACATATATTAAATTTATTAAAAAAAATCCATATAATAACCCCTTTAATTTGATATGTGAATTATAGTCTGCAAAACATTTTTAGAATCATATAATTTGCCCCCTATTAAAATCAGGTCGTCCAAATTTGAGAAAATCGGATGTAACAGACGAACAACTGAGTGGTCCTAAAGATTCCGTTTCTCCTTTTTTTGATACGCATCCTTAACCTTTAATTTAGACGAATAAAATGAGTTAAAACTGAAAACAAACCAAATCCATAATCGAGTGCATCAATTGCGTTTATAAGCACAAAACATCGCAAGGAAAGTATTACGACATCTCTATTTATAAAAAGTAATCATCCATAATTCCATATTTTGACAGAAAAGCCTTTACTATAATTTTTATTTATATTAACTGTTTCATGTTAATTATTTAGCAATTTATTCTGAGCAAAAGACTTGCAATGGCATCCAACAAGTATGCAACGGTTTTTACATAATTAATAAGTAGGTACCCAAATTTAATGACACATCATAAAAAAACTATGGAACTAGAACTAAATAAATGCATGTTTAACGAGTATTTATAGGCAACAAGAGCTTTCGTCATGCTAAACATGAGTTTAGAATGGGAAGGTATGTGGAAGCATTCGATTAATTCTGATAGGTATGTAAGCGAAAGCGTTTCGAAACGTTACGAATTACAAAGTTTGCGTTGGATCCAAAGAGGCGGTTAATAGTTTATCGGTTAAGTTAATACGGGGCCTCGGTGAATTCAACATACTTTTTAAGTCTAACATTTTGTTCTAGTGAATCCAATGTAACGACCGCGCCAGTTCTTTTACTTTGTACCATGGGAATGGGGGGTATATTGGTGTCGATCGCCTCATCCGTGAGACTCTAGACCGCCTGTTGTAATATGTTGGTTCTGGATATGTATGTGAATGGTAGCGATTGTATACTGGCTTGTCGGGGTACGTGTGAGGCTGGGAATAGTCCACTTTGTATGTACTCGTTGTAGTGCTTTGAACGCCGGAGCTGGAGAATCTATTCGCGTTGTATCCTGTAACAAAAAAAAATGTTATCTTATCCAATCTAATCAGTGATTTTAAAGTACTTTGTAAAAATGAAAATTATGGTACAAAACTGCTAGATGGAAAATATTGACTATATACGTAATTATTTATCGATCACATTACGAGCATCACTATCTGTCGGTGAGCTGTTACTGTCACTTTGACATTGACGTTTGAATAGATTCGCGCCATTATACGGCGGGTTGGTGGATTGTTGTTAAACTATTAGAATCTGTACATTCTACCTAATATAAAAAAAAACTAATAGGACTAGAAAAAGTCGTTTGCAAATCAAACAAGTATAAATGCAATATGTGTATAAAATTGTGTAACATGACGCAAGTGTAGTACCAATACGTGCTTTATGTCAATCCTATTATGAAATAAATTGATGATTGATGCATCACTGACCTGTGTTATATGAATTGCTGGGTCGAACGCACATCATTCCGTATACTCTGATGCCTGGCACCGATGCATATGTAGGCTGGTCATGCGACATTGGACCTTCTGAAACGTATAATTAAAGTCGAAATCATTTCGAAGGCAATTAAATAAAAACTACAAATAAAAAGAAACTAAAATGCAATTTAAACTTTCTCTCGAAATGTCTAGTTTTTACTGAGTTTTTCTTTATTAAAGTTTGTTTGCTATATAAAATCAAATTATCTTGTTAAAAAATTCAACTAGCCGGTCATTAATAAAACGACTTTTCAACGGGTTAGATTCAAGTGAGTTGTAATTTATAGTTTTGGATAGTTTGCGGGCTGTGTGGTCAAATAGAGTACTCAGCATCCGTGGATGGAGGTATGATATGATAATAAAATTAATGAAACGTGCTATCTCCAATTTTTAATTTACTTCTTAGCTTCACTGAATTAATATTAAAAGATAATTTGAGATACATGTCTATTAGATCTAATCAAATAATCATCTAAAAACCTAGACGGCTTTACATATTATGCCAACAAAGAAAAACTCCTAGAGACATCTTAAATACGATTCAGATACAAATTGTTACGATTTAAAACTTTATCAGCCATACTGAATAATAAACTCTAACAATGTTTAAAGTTTAAAATACATCGTTGCAAAGTTTTGCTAGTGCACATACACAGTTAAATCGTAAAGAATTCGTTTCATTTCAATGTTCTTTCTGTTATAGTGTGTTTCACATAGGATGGGTACGGTCACGTTTGTTAATAAATCCATTTATCGTAATTTTTATTTCCAGATAATAAAAAAACATCGGTATAGAAAATAGTTTGACTATGTATAAATTTATTTAAATTTGCATATTGCGTTTTAGCCAATAAATTTTTAATAGCCATTACTACTGAAATATAACCCTCTTAAATTTAAAACATCAACACTTGTAACGAAATTTTTTTTTAAAGGGATTGAATCATAAATATTGCTTTAATCGTAATATGTATTCGGTAATCATGTGACTTTGTTTTTAAATATTGTCGCAATTAACCATATTAACATTTTGTATTTTTTTTTTGTTTCGGGTTCATTTTGTTGATGAAAAAATATTTTTCATAAATACTGTTTTATACATTAACCTTAAAATACATTATCTCTATTAGAAATGGACTCGATGATATCGAGTTTTTGTATATATAATTTTTAATTACCACATCACTAAAACTTCAAATCAAAACGTAACCGTACCCATGCTAGTATGTGAGAAACACTTGGCTATGTGCGCGACTTCAGCGACATCTAGCGTCCGCAACCTTGTGAGCTTTGACGCTTTGAAATCTAACGTGTTATTTTAGACAAAATATTAGAACAAACAACTATCTGATAATTTATACTACAAAAGTATTGTAATTTCGGTGGACAAGGAGATGTAAAGTTATTATTAACCATTCAAATGAAATAAGGTAACCATATTTTATTTAAAAAATTTGTTTAAATTTGTTATGTTAGAATTTTTTAGCTCATTTTTATTTGCAATTTTACTGTAAAACAAGAAATTAAAGCGCCTTTGACAATTTCATTAAATAATAGTTTACATATACGATTATTCCTTTATCGTCAGTAATAAATGAAATGTGGTTTTCTGATCGAAATGAGTAGGTATTATTCTGAAGACCGGATTATCACTCACAATATAAAATAAAAACTTTGATACCGTGCAATGCCTATGTTTATAAAGTAGTAACCCGTTGGAACTCATAATCACGACTAAGTTTTATTTTAACATTAATTCGATTGCAGCTGAATACAGCAGAACTAAAGTATCTAAGTGAGAAAAGCAAACATATATATTATAAAAAATAATATATATGTTTGCTTTTATATATTAAAGTGATGTTGGTTCGATGAATAATATATATTAAAGTGATGTTGGTTCGATGAATAAAATATTGTCATTAAGAAAATATATTTCAGCACAGTTTATTTATTGTTTTATAGATTCCTGTTAGATTTAACTTTAAATAAAAATTTCTTTTTGTATTATAAATTATGATCAGTAAACAGTTTTCACATTAATTCAGTAAAAAGAAATATAAGTACCACCACGAGCACTGCGATAGATTGCGTTACCCCCACCTTGTACTTCGCACCTAGCGAATAGTAACTTATTTTGTTTGCATGATTTTCTTTAACCACTACAGTGGCGGCACAAGATCTAAATTTAACATTTTGCAAAGCCCTAAAATTACGAAAAGAGAAGCTTTTTATTAAAAAAAAATATAAAAATCAAAAAAATTAAGAAAATCATCATTTAATGCGGAATAATACTCTATTTATTGAGCTGCTAATAAATGGTATAATAGGCGGACTTAATGCTTATAGCATTCTTTACCAGTCAACCTTTTGGCGAAAAAATTATGGCGGCATAAAGCTAAACTAAACTACAAACAATTTGAAAAATACACATACACGTACATAATATGATGCGCATAAGGAAAGTGTGAGTTTTCTTTTTGAGTATAAATTTGTTGGGAGATCGCCTGGTGGTGTCGAGGTAGCTATTCCATAGTCGTATAGCTTGAATAGTAATTGTGTCGTACAGAAAGCGAAAATAGAAGAGTGAGACCGGTACGAATGGGGAGCCATTTTAGTTGAGATCGATAACATGATCATATTTGCGAAGGCAGAAAATAAAACGGATACCGTCGCAAAAATCTGGGTAACAAACATCAGCACAGTCAACGAGTGAAAGAATAAGCGAAGTTACCAGAGTGGCTTTCGTGTAATGTTTCCATACTTTATGTGGCGTTTTATTAGTAAGGTTGCAGCGTGTTCATTCCAGCATCGCCCACCGTTTTTTGCCGCCTCTGTTTAATTGTTAGCTACATTTTATTGTCTCTTTACGCGTAGTTATAAAACCAAAAATCAACATTGGATTCAGTATATACTATTAAGAAGTAGATAATTGTAAAAGTGGAAAAATTTCGTAAATCTATGACGAGGCTCCTTTATGCTGAAAACAGATTAGTAAGTTTAAGTTGTATGCTAACGCGTTCACTAGTGAGCTCGTTAAGTGGAGATCGAATATACGTCATACCTTTAAACCCTAAGCTGGCAATTAACCTAATTGCTGATTTCACTGTATTTTTACATAGAAAATTGATTTTGCGAGTGTAAAATCCGTTAAGATTCAAGTTATTAAAAACGATTTAAACAAGCTTTTTTTGTAATTATGTTGGACCATAGATTTTGTATAGGTAGATAAATTGAACGAGCCAAAATTCGACAGAGACTTGTTATTTAATTACAAAGTTCTAATTCCACCATCAGCTTCTGGATATTATTTCTAACTAAAGGCGAATCAAAAGAGCCCAAACTCCATAGGGGATTCCTTCGTTTCGTTTACAGAGGTCCCATGGGATCATTCCCGCTTCATTCATACTATAATATAGTTTAATCGAAAACCGGAAAGTGAGACAAATCAAAAGCTTTCAAGATCTGACCTAGACTAACAGGGCGAGTTAATTATAACAAAAGCTAGTATAGACATAGTAAGCACGAATTTATTTTAATATCATACTCTGTTATTAACTAGCTTACATGTTTATGGCGACTTTAACCGTAAATTATATAGCCTATAGCATCTGCGTACAATGTAGCTTTCAGCAGGTGTAACAATTTTCATGATCGGTTCAGTATTTTCAAAAAGATGACCTCTTTAATATCAATATAGACACAGTACCTACATAAATTAATTAATGTCTTTTAGCTGCTAAAATCTTTGATAACTGTGTTATTATATACTTCTTTGTTTTACTTCTATTAAAGCTGGCGTTTGGAGCAGCTTTATTCAAAACCGGAGCTATCGATTGTTGATAAACAATTAGGAAAACCCGATTAGGATCTTAACTCCCTTGTTCATGCCTTTATTCACGTGGTATTTCTAAGCTTTCAAGATAATATAATAAACGTGCATTAATAATAAAATTTAGTATATTTAATTAATGAAAAATGCTTAAAAAATATACTTTGTCCCTGGCACTCCGAGATGGCTCTGTAGTAGAGAAAAAGTAACGAGTCCCTGAAAGATTCGTCGTTCCTGTTTGGTCCTGGGTAGTTCAGTGATTGAAGCGGACGCCCGGATTGCGAAGGGTTCGAGTCTCATCACAGAGTGCCAGGGATGAAGTAGATTTTTAAGTATTTTTCAATAAGAATATTTTTTTAGTAAAATTTAATGAGAGCTAGCAACTAATAGTAACAATGAGAGTCGGGCGATATTGTATTGCGTACAATGGAGTCAACATTATTTCTAATTAATTACTCGCAAACCCTCCACTGTTTTATTTCTCGATTTCATATATTAACTCGCTCATTTATTAATTTAGGTACACTATATAATTAATAACGAGTACAATAAATAAATTTAGTTGAATATTCTGAGCTAATATTTTTTTGCAAAAAAAAAAACTAATTAACGTGTATGCGCAATTTGTGTTGTAGTATTCTTCTTAGACTTATGTTGTAGTTTTATCATTATTAATAACATTTCAGTTCTTTTTTTTCTTGTTGAAAATCAATTTGTAACTATGTTATCCCTAATCTTTTTGAAGAACCATCCAGACTTGCTACAGATATTGGAAAAGGTCAAGTTTTACTTTCAGAACAAATAATATTGAACTATTACTTTCAGTAATAAAGATCCATTTAAAGAGAAGAAAATATATAAGTTAAGTCTTAGGTTCGTTTACTAGTTCAAGATCAATTAATGTTTTAATTGTCTATTCAGTTTAATTGTATTGATATCATCTTTAAAATAGCTGTAAAATCGACTATAACAAAGCCTACCACACAATAGGGGTTAAACATCCAACTAGTGACACTTTGGAAATGGAATCTGAGTATTAATATTAACCGTTAGTTATTTAAACTTGAAATATATATATATTTTTTTTTAATTTAGCTTAAACATTCTTTGTTAATGCCTAGTTATTGACACATAAGTTTACAAGCATTAAAGTACTGCAGGATAGTAGTCGAAAATTAGTCAAAATTTATATTAAAATAAGGTATCATTGTAACATAGTAAACTAATACTCACCCAGTATATGGTTCTCGGGACACCGACATATGACCAGATAATGTGATTTGCCTGTTCTGATGTTCTGCAAAGCCAACAAAGACCAATCGCGAGGGGCCCGGCATTCACGCATCTCCGATACTGCTTCGCAAGTCTTCACTAGTGTCACAGCTTTGTAGGCATACTGAAAAGAATATCATAATATTTCACGAGACTGGTATGGTAAGCAACGAAATATATATTTAAATTCTTTTGCGGGCAACAAGTAAACATTTTTAATCGACTTCAAAAAAGAGGTTCTGTACTCAACGCCTATTTTATGTATTACCAGTGATTTCTTCGTTTGTAAACTGTTTTTTTTTTATTCGGAACGTTATAGTCCTGGGTCCCAATTCTGCTAATACGCAATAGTAGCATATCAATGAAGTCTCGACTACTTGCATTTTGTATTTGTACTATCTACCTGAAGTCCAATGTTATTAGTGCAATGTCTTCTTCATAATTCAATAGTAACAAATATATTTATTATTTTGCAATCTAGTAACAAGAACTGTGTCATGAAGGTTGTAGTTGAAGTGCTATTGAATATCCGTAATCACGCTAACATAAGCAGCTCAACAAAATTGTCTGATCGAACAAAAGTAATTGGAAGAATTCTTTCAAGAAATAAATAATAGAACATATTTGTGCCGTCGAAATCAACATCACGTATTTTGTTGTCCTGTGATATTTGGTTATATCAAATATTCATATAGGTATCGCTTATGTTGACTTATGGATCTCTTATTTAGGATTTGAACCTTAAAATTTGCATAATCAGCGTCAACAATTAGGTCTGCTTTAAATTACGACCTTATTAGATACTTCACCTCGATAATCTCATTTTATTGTTTTGAATAGCAAGTTAATAATTGAATTGACTGCATTATTATTCATCCACGTTTACCAATGTAAGCGTCCCTAATTGTATATTTTACTTCAAATATTACTCTCGCTGCAGTCATCCTTCTTAAGTATGTAAAACTTCTAGTAAACGGCATCTAAAAACTTGTAACCATCCCACATAAAGTTGGGTAAAAACATGTTCGACTTAACTTACAACGCTAAAGTTTACTTGTTACTGCTTCTCAACCAAGTTAAATTAATACATTCTAATTCGTTTTAACTTACTGTTCCACCCCTGCGATTCTGTAAAAATCCAGAACCGAATTCGAATTCACTAATGTGCTCGAATTCAAGTCATTTAGTGTAGAAATTCTATTGTTTCCATTTTTTTGTACAAAAATACAAAATAAAATACGTCAATCAGATATTCTATTCATAAACATTTCAAAACTTACTTCACTTATGCCACGAAACGTTATTATCAATACAAGGTTGAGCGGATGTCGCTTTTTAAAGTGGATTCGGACACCTGAGTGAATTCAAATTCGGGCTTGGATTTTTACAGAATTAAAGGTCAGTTCCATTGGAAAAGTACAACGTATAGGTGTATGTACTCTCCATTTATCTAATCTTAGTAATCAAGAAAAACTGCCCGCAACTCTATTTGTACACATATATCAGAGCAATATTTTGTTATCAATTTGCAGTACCAAGTTTATTTATGTAGAAGCAAGCCTCCATTCTTGGTAAAACGTTTTTTTTTTCAGGGCCGTTATGAGCTACTTCAGAAAAGTGTAGCAACACGATTGACAACTTTCCATCTCAGTTAGCGACCAAATATAGAAACAAATGTATGATTTTAAAAGTGAAATTAGTTCGGTTTCTTCATTCCGAGATTGCCATCCGCTTAGTACGTGTTCGAAACTTAAAAAAAAGATTTATCGTTGCACTGCTCTTCGATACGATGCCGATTACTTCTGAAACAGCAAACACACTTTTCTGATTTCTAAATTTCTAACCACAGTCTGTGGTCGTATTGTGCTTTGTAAATGGTTGAAAACTGAAACGTAGGGGCGCGACATCGCAATTTTCTGCAATGTTGGCGCGACTGTCATTAGTGGAGTTGAGAGTAAATTGGTTTTGCTAGATTGTTCTGACGGCTTTAATTCACCTTCTTTTTGGAATCTGTGGTGAGCCGCGTGGTATGCAGGTCGTCTGCGTTGAGGCTGGCAGAGCAGGGGTCGCGGTATCGCGCCGGGCACGCGCACAACGGCTGCGTATAGTTCAAACGCACGTACACCGCATTGCAAACCTGCAAACGTATAATAACTTCTTAGTCGTTATTTTAGACAAGTCTGTTACCGGAGTCTGTGGATTTAGACTTGCTCGTAACACAAGCATTTATATTACTTACTAGCTGACCCAACAGATAATAAAGAAAAGACAACGGTCCTCTCTCAACTATTAAGAATGAATTTGAACAGTTTTTTGCATCCAATTTGACGTTATTTGCAGCACGCATTCTGTCAATTCTACGTGAAACGTCATAAAATGTGGTATTATCCAAAACACTAAGGTTAGATAAGAAATAATTTTATATGGAAGATAAATATTCTTAAACATCAAATTTTCCACACAATTTTCTTATTTTTTTTATTTTCATATATATATATATATATATATATATATATATATATATATATATACCAAGATATATATATATATATATATATATATATATATATATATATATATGCTCAATTTTGCAGTCACAATACTATACTGAAAAATATTATTAATAAAAAATGCTTAAACACCCATTTTGTCCCTGGTACTCTGAGATGCCAGGCAAAGTTTTCATTAACAATATTAGTGACTACTATCAAAAAGTTCTGATTATTGCTAATACTTTCAAAAAGCCTTTGTAAGAGATATCATTAAGGCGATTGTCATTCAATATATGTCTAAAATTTGCATACTATTGTCGTTAACATAACATCAATAAGCTATCGAAATTATCTAACTGTAAAATGAATGATTTCCGCCTCCGGTATTTCACAGAGAATTCAATAATCAACACAAACGACGGTGGCTTATGTCCCCGCCTGAATAAATTTGCACCATCAAAAGAGCCATTATCTTGATTACATTAAAGTCATGATCCCGAACTGGCATCCATATTATAAATGAAACAATTCGTTTGTTCGCTTGTCCCTTTTTCTTGTCGCTGCGGAGAGTCGTTATGGTATGTTTTGTGCGAAGATGGTTACAGAAGGCTAGAGAGTGACAGGCTTTTACCGCCAAAACAGTTATCTCTCTTTGATTTCGATAAAGCCACGGGAATTGTTAGTAATTTAATAAAATGATAATCACCTGCTGAATAGCACATTCTGGCAGCAAGTAGATATGTTGGTTATGAGGATAATAGTGGTACTTTGTTGGTTTCGCAAGAACTGAAGTAGACCCAGCTGGTAATGGCACAGTCTGAAAAGATAATAATAATGTTAAACAAATTATTTATAAAAAAATATATATATTTCCCACAGTGTCAGTGTCTTCTATTTTATGTCAAGTCCAGTGTTGATAAAATGCAAACTTTCAAAGATTTATTTACACGTCAGATTGTCGAGATGAAAGCGTCTATTACCCGAGTCATCATTAGTTTTTGTCACAATGATGGGAAAAGTCCCGTCTTGCAGAACTACAATCCCATTCATTCAAGCTATTAGCTCTTCATAGAGATTCTGTGTCGACAATGACAATGGGTACGTGTCATCTTATTGAATTCCGCTTTGGCCGTTGGGTTTCCGCGGTACGTACTATTTCACGTAGATAAAAATAAAGAAAAATACTATGCTACCAGTTCAAATAAAGCTATGATTGACGTTTAGTTAATAGGAAAAGAATTTGGTTACAAAAAATTTTTTATTGAATGTCATCATCATCAGCCTATTAATTTTCTCACTGACGTGTCACAGATCTTCCCTGTGGATGAAATGGCATTATTGACTATACCTAATGTAATTTATCTTTACCCATTCATGGATTAAAGATTAGGATCGATTGTCGCGAATCTTATTTTCGTCTTCGCTTTTTGTTAACGAAAACATTAAAACTGTTTTGGTGTTGGCGACATATCCGAAAAGAGTCATTCGTGCGCGATGATTTTTAGCCGATAATGCTTCACGGTCATGCACCTGACGATTTTCAACGATTACGTCGTCACGTTGCCTGTACAGGTTAATAAACCTGTTAACAAATTTATATTTTGCATTTTTTTTTTTCTTTTGACGCCTTGTTTTTATCTTTTGTCTCAATGTAATTCAATTTAAGTACCTACAGATTACTTTACATTTGCAGCGAATACTACTTTGTTTAAGGGCACCGTGTTCTTATATTTTGTCTGGTATACGTACATGTAAGTTTTTATAGTTAAATTTCCGTTATACTTCTTCAATGTTTTCTTCGTCATTGATTAAAATGTTCACCCGCTGTGAGATTTAATTTTGATAAGTTTAGTCCCTCGCCGATCGTCCTTCTAATCTGTACTAGTAACCCATAATTTTTATATTACATCTAAGATCATTACAACAAACTTTAAAGTTGATTCATCTGTGTTGTCTCTGCGTATTTTTCTTTCTCCAATATTTTTTTTCGTCAGATTACAGTTGGCCGTTACCAATCGTCCACAAATCCAGTACGCTTTCTTGTTCATCAGTACTAAATGAATTAAGATCGAATGTCAGCTCTAATCCAATTATAAATCTTAACCTTAGTACCTACACATATAAACTCAATTAATACATTATTATTAATACGAATATGGTATTATAATTTAATCATCAATTTTAAGTTCTCCACAGATTACGAACATAAAAAGATGTATTGAATAGTGTACGACTTAATTGGTATTAAGAATAGATTTCGTTGTTCGACCATGGCATTATAATGACTTTATTGGAGAAGAAAGTTTAGTCCTTTTTATAGCCAGTTCTAAATGCGAGCATTCTATTTTATACGAGTTAAATATAATGATATAATGGTTATCTCTATGATTACAACCTATCATTTCGTTTTAACAGACCATACAGAAGGCTATTATCTCGGAGCTTTTTCTAGTTCGTGATTAGCTGTATGATATTTTCGCACGTGAGCAATACGCCCTCTTAACCTTCACGGCTGCTAAGAATTGTATCGCTATTATCAAAGCCAAAAACACTTTTTTGTTTCTTTGATTTTACAGAGTCACTTTCACTCTTTTCTGTGGAATCACTGAGCGTTCTTATTAATTCTTGCTCTTTTTAATTCGATTGTTTCTTAGGAAGAGATTAATTGGTGGGATCACAATGCTCTGATAATTTGCTTTCTTCAACGTTCTCGTTAAGCTATTCATGTTGGAATATGTGGTAGATAAGCCGGGTCCCGTTGCTAAGTATTGCAATTTACAGTGTCACTTTTAAAGTAATTTTCAAAAATTAATCAACCATCTCCAGTCATTGTTCTTTCTCCTCAAATAATTAACTAAATATATACGTAATACCAGAGTGAAACAATTCTTTGATTTCGTTTCGATTGTCATTATATTTCAGATGACTAATAAAGCTCATTCCAAGATTCAAATAAAGTAACATAAATGACCATTACAACTGGCTGGTTAATAAGATTTAGGAATGATATTTAGCAAACACAACTCTGATCTGATGTAACATTGTAAAGGAGTTTAACGTTTGATATTGTTACTGTTCTTTCTGACCGCGGTACCGTACTGATTCAGCCGTCGATAACAGGGCAAGGCGGAAAAGATGAGTCAGGAGAGGGCATCATAGAAAAGATCCTCGGCCATGTACTTTTGTTAAAAATAATAAAAAAACGGACGTCACGTCCGAGTGCCATGATACAATTATAGTGTTGGCCGGTTTTGGTTAAGTTTTGGTCAAGTCGTCAACCCTTTCTGATGACATACGTTGACTTGAAGCGATCCATTTTTATTTTGTTTTAATGTTTATTCTTCGAGTGTGTTTGTTTGTAAACATTAGTCATCGATCGCCTACAAAATGACTTATATATTAACAATAGACTTGTGTCCTACAAGTGAACTTAAGACTTGAAAACCTTGAAAAATATAGGGAACTTTTATTACACAAATTTGCTAAAATACAATATGATGTAGCAATTCTGTTGTACAAACTAGCCAAAATTTAGGTTAAGGAGGTATGTCGTCGAATATGGCCACGTTAAGGTTTGTAGTCCTTTTTTAATAATAATAAAGCTAAAACAAATTAGTTTTAGCACACATTCATAAAGAGTGGCTATTTATCTTTACAATAAAGGCAAAAAAATACAAAGACTTGAAACCACAAAAAGTAATTTCAACATTTTTTAAAAATTTAGAATTTGGCCATATTTCCGATGGGGTAGGTAAATATGCCCTGTATGTGGCCATATTTACTGTATCAATTTACATATATAAAACCTTCTAAATAATATGAAATAAAAAGGGATATTATGTTTTACTAGAGCATTTATTTAATAAAATATATTCTTTGGGCAATATGTACAAATAAAGAAACAAGAAATTGAAAATCAACAATCAACAATGAGATACAAAATTTTTTTCTTAAACGCAATTACGTAGGACACGTTGTGTTAATGGGTATCCCACGTTGCACAGACGAATAACTCGGGATGATAAAATTTTCTCTTGATCAGGGTTAAGAAGTGGTTTCGGTCCCAAAGTAGTTTTTGTTTCTTTCTTCTATGGTAAATAACGCCTTAAAGTACACTTTGGCACATTATAATGATTTGCAGCCGTATTTTCTTTCATCTTAGCGCTCGACTGCAGTTAAAATTTGTTTTATTAATGCTTCTGATCAATTACCTCGAATCCCTTTTCCTATATAGCGCGGCATAGTCTAAAACAAAAATTTGTTAGTATTTTTTTTCTTTTGTTTTAGTACCGGAGATATGGCCAAACACTGGCCATATTTGCCGTCGCGCATGTTCACGTTTTCATATTTATGAATGAAAAACCCACTATTATTTTGATAATTAAACAAAGAAATATCAAATTACAATCGTCACACAACATCGTAATATGATTTACAAATATTCTTATTCGAAGAATAATAAAATACAGAACAATACTTACTTAATTTTTTTATAACCTGTACAGTTGTTTTGCTTTAACCGACACTGGACGACCAGCAGGGCGCGGGAAGGGTTAACAGGTACTCCGTTCGGATACATGCGACACTAGCGACAATTTATGGTCGCGTTTAGGTTATTAAAATATTTAGTGTTTGTAATACTGGTATGTGGCTATATTTTTCGGCTGGCCATATTCGACCCAGGTTAATAAAATTACCGTCGTCGTACTTTTACGTCTATCACATATACACCTAGCAGCTATAAGCACCATTGTGTGAATACCAAGTAATTTTGTCCTATAGTTACGCATTGTGTAACAAGGCCCAAGAGACAAATGTGTACTGGAGCCTTTATATACCCGTTAATAACCGAGAGGACATCATATTAATATACCCGTTAATAACCGAGAGGACATCATATTAATTTATTCTAAAACTTTTCCAACTTGTATTAATAAATAACAATTAATTAACAGATGTTTGAAATTCGTTAATTATCAATGCAGTGATAAAATTTCATTGATTTTCGAACATCACACACCCTTTATGTCAATGAATAGGGGCTTAACATAATAAATATTGCTTTTCAATAGCACCGTGGTCCTGTCCTGCGGTCTATTGAATACTTCAGTTGTACTGAATTGTTTCCCAGTTTTGTCTTTGGAGGGTTAGATTAATGGAGCTGTTACAATAAGCCAACTGCATACCAATGAACTAATCCGGCTTACCGTACACAAATTTGTAACCGATTGACAAGCTTATTTACTCGAAGATAAATTTCAGTACTCCTCCATCTATTAACTCTAAACTTTAATCCCAAGAAGTGATTCATAATACATTTGCGAGAAATTGATTCGCAACACTCGGTGTCCTTGAGGATGAAGTTTAGTCCTCGATCGGGTCTTTTTTTATCGTTCGGGATAAAACCATAAACGAGATCACGTTTTAATACAATTGTCTAGTTAGTTTTATTGAGCGTATATTTGTTGTGGCCAAAACGAGCGCGAGCGTTATTCATAATATCCGGTCAAAATGAAAAACAGGCGTTACTTATTAAGCGGATATAATTTGTATACCTATTCATACTTATGAACACGATTTAAGTGATAAAACATATATAATTGACATTCCTTTTTATGTCTTATCAGATTTTTATTTGACATTAGAAATTATAAAGCAAACTGAATTCTAGTGACCTGCAATAGGTCCACGACATTACTTTTGTGATATATCTATGTGTGGTATTTGTTGATAAGAATTTTTTTTATTTACTAAAAATTTTATAGCACATTTGGTGGAAATAAAGAAAAAGGACGTATTTATGACGTAAACACTCTCAGTAGTACAATGCTACATAGTGCATATCCCATTTTTTCTAACGCATGTCAGTGAGGTTATATACATATTATTTACATGTAATCCAAATTAATTCGAATCGTATTTCTAGTATGGCTGCTACCTAGACGTCTAAATAGCAAGCACACTAAGAAATTACAATATCTTAATTTAT